GCACTCTAGCCCGGACGACAGAGCCAGACTCTGTCTCAAAACCAAAAAAAAAAGAAAAAATGATGCAGGGACCAGGCGGTTTCCCGGGGACTCTCTCGCGTCCCTGGGCCATTAGCGCAGGGGACAGCAGGCCGGGATTTTCGTGCAAACGCTCCCTCGCTCTCCCCAGCCGCCCAGCCGTGTCCCGGGGAGGCACCGAGACTCTGGAATATTCCGCCACTTGCCGCGACCAGCCCCCCGCCCCGCTTGGCTTTAACATCGCGACGATTTTTCACGCCGGAGCCGAAACGGGGCGAAGGATGAGGCTGCCGTAATTGTCGCTAGATTGCGTGTCAGCCCGATAAGATGTGACGGATACTTCCCTCCCCGCCGGCGTCCGCGTCCCCCTCGGTGACGGATGGAGAAACTTCTGGTCGCCGGCGAGAGATCGGCCGTAAAAACTTCACCGGGAAGATGAATGTCACCGTCACGGGCCTTTGCTGGGAAAAAAATCGGAGGAAAATTAAAATAGACGCGACCTTCCTGCCTCTCGAGACCACCGCCCCTCACTCTGGGGCGCCTGGGCCACCTTCCCCCGGCCACGTCCCTGGGACCCGCCGCCGCCAGGATCCCGGAGGAGCAGGAACCAGGAGTCTCGGGCCTGGGCGGAGTGAGACCACCCCCCGCCCGCTCCTGTCACTCGCCGGCTCTGGACGGCAGGGTCGCGGTGGCCCGAGCAGCTGGGGGGACCGTCCCCACCCCCGGCATCGCCGCCCCTGTCCTGACCCTCAAACGCTCAGAGAGGTTGGGGACCCAAGGCCGAGGCCCAGCCAGGGCGGAGGCCCCGTTCTCGTCCTTCCTCGTCACCTGACGCCTCCCGCCTCGCCTGCCTGGCACCGGTCCGATGTCGCAGGCTCCCGGCCACCGCCGACACCACGCGGGCGCCGCGGCCACGGTCCGATTCCGAATCCGCCTTCGGGTGATGTGATCCGGGCGGCGTCTCCTCGGGGGCCAGGCCCAGGGGAGGACAGCCACCCTGGCAGCGGGGACCGCGCCCGGCGGGAACAAGGGTGACGAGCTCGCCCTGCTGGGCAGGAAGGTTCCAGCTCGGGGGACTGTCTGCCAGGCGCTGAGCCGCCCCCCCAGCTCGCTCAGGGACAAACCCAGAGACGCAGTCGCAGCCGCGGGAACACACAAGAGGGACACGCGAGCCGACCCGCAGGGCTGTCCCCGGCCACGGCTGGACCCGCGTGAGCAGCAAGACGAGTCGGGCAGGACTGGGTCACAGAACGAACGTCTGCGCGTCCAGCTGTCCCCCTGTCCCGCGCGGAACCCCGGATGGCGGAGGGGAACACGCAGCCCTCGGGGACGGGGACCGTTAACTGTCCCCTCTGGCGTGCGGGCCGCACGTGGCGGCTCCTCCCAGGGAGTCCAGGAGGGGGAGGCGGGAAGCAGTCGCCTGACAGCGCGGAGGCCGGACAGACGCGTGACCTCCGCCGGGTGCTCAAGGCCAGCGCCGCAGTGGCAACTGGACTCGGGGTGACGGGAAGGGCACTGGCCTCTGTGCGCTACCCCCTCCCCCCCCAGCTCAGTCCCAGGAAAGCGTCAGACGGACGGACGCCAGCCGAGGGACAGTCGCCGAGCAGCCCATCGGTGCCCTTGGAGACCGTCAAGGTCGTCAGACATGAGTGTGTCGGGAACTGTCGCAGCCAAGAGGGGCCGTGACGACCGGTCGCCGCGTGTCCCCTGGTCGGGATCCCGGGACGGAGAATGGGCAGGGGGTACCACTGAGGCCGCCGGGACCGGCTCACGCGCCGTGAGACACACACCGAGCTGACGGGCGTGACAATAAGGCGAGCTGGGTGTGAGGACGGGGGACTCCGTCCCTACACCTTCCTCACGACAGTCTGCGCGTCCGAAACTGCTCTGCGAGAAAAGTTTATTTTTTTTTTGAGACAGAGTCTCGCTCTGTCACCCGGGCTAGAGTGAGTGCCGTGGCGTCAGCCTCGCTCACAGCAACCTCCAACTCCTGGGCTCCAGCGATCCTCCTGCCTCAGCCTCCCGAGTAGCTGGGACTACAGCTGGGATGACAGGAGTAGCTGGGACTACAGGAGTAGCTGGGACGACAGGAGTAGCCGCGATGACAGGAGTAGCTACAGGCACACGCCACCGTGCCTGGATAATTTTTTCTGTATTTTTAGTTGTCCAACCAATTTCTCTCTATTTTTAGTAGAGATGGGGTCTCGCTATGTTGCCCAGGCTGGTCTCGAACTCCTGACCTCAAGCGATCCTCCCGCCTCGGCCTCCCAAGGAAAAGTTTATTTTTAAAGAACGTGCCGAGAGCGCGGCGTCGCCAGAACAACCCAGGAGGATTTATTGGAAGACACGGCAGGCGGGGACGGGCTCCCCCAAAGCAAACACCGCAGACGTCACGATAACTTAAAAAGAAACGCTCTCCACGCCGAACTCACGCCGCTGCCGGCCGTACCGCAGTGGTGACGTTGGCCCCGGGCCCGGGACGGGCCCGCGGCCGCCTCACTTCATGTACTTGTCCTGCTGGTCGGCCAGGATCTTGGCCGAGGACTTGGCGTCGTAGAAGAGCTCGCTGATCTCCTCCACGTGCTCCTTCTCGATGCCGTCCTTGCCGTTGATCTTGGCCAGCAGGTTGGCCGGGGTCAGCAGCTGCACCGCGTACCTGCGGGGACAGGGCCGGGACGGCAGTGAGACCTCCCCCCGCTAGGCTCGCGCCGGTTGTCGCCAACACGGCGGAGAACGGGAGAGAGAGCTGCAGTGGTCGCCCCGTCTCAGAAGGGCCGACGCCTCTGCGACTGGGAAGGACTCTGCAGGCTCAGACGCGCACGGGTGGCGCAGGTCGTGCCGAGCACAGACGGGGACGCTCAGCGTGGCGGGGAAATTGACACGTGGCCAACTGGAAACACGTGTTGTCCCAGATCCAAAGGTCTGAAAATTCAGTGGTTTTTGAAAGCTCCGCTCCCTCCAAAGCTAGCAGCGCACGCCTGTGATCCCAGCACTCTGGGAGGCCGAGGCGGGAGGATCGCTCGAGGTCAGGAGTTCGAGACCAGCCTGAGCAACATAGCGAGACC